GTCCATGGTCCAAGCCTTTTATAATTATGAATTAATAACGTAAACATTTTACTATTTGATAAACATAAACTACAGAGTAGTATAGGTATAAATATTCATGAAAAAGAATTAGAAGCGATTAATCACCAGCTTTTATCGATAAACGCCTTTATTTCCAATTGACCGAATCGGCGACTCCAGCTATTACTGGTCACGTGACGTATTGATACAAAATGTAAACATACACATGGCAAACTACAGTGCGCTCATTGACATTGAACACAGTGAGAGAGTTATGATGTTTTTTTAGACAGCGACCCAAAGTAAAATCTGTCTCTTATACACATCTAGATGTGTATAAGAGACAGTATATATATATATCAGAATTATAATAAAAAGGGGTTCCAAGGCTGTGGTTTTCAAATATTCTACGGTATTCTTCCTCGTAGGTTAGGCATACGCCTGCATAATACACTAGGCCTACTGGAGCGTTGCTTTGCTTATTAAACTGCTCTGACTTTATTGCCGAATCCTATAGCGCCACCAATCGACACTGCCTCAAACGTCCAAAACAAATTTCGCATCCTGCCAGCGAATTTTTTTTTTCGTGAAGAGCCAAGCATAGGGAAATATATAAAGCGCTCTGATTGGCTAATGATAGGATGAAATCATCGCACAAGTTGGCACAAGAGTTAACCAAAAACTCGCACTCGAATACGGATACGGTGCGAGTGAAAGTGATCTCAAGAAAGCTAACAGTAGAAACCCTCAATTACGAACCCCGATTTAACGAATTCCCGATTTTACGAACATAAAATCAAGGTGATGATGTCATAAAAAGTGAAGCGAAAAATAATAATTTAAAAAAAAATCCGCTCGAATTGTAACTGTTATTACATGCATACAACACAACATACCATACCATACAGTACTATGTAATTCTCAAGTGAAGGAGGCCCTCTAACGGGCTTCTTCAAATTCATTGTTTTTTTTTCTAGGCAAGGCCTACCCTTGGCGTAGTTGGAAGATGGATCTACACTCCTATCCCATATCAATCATGATGCAAGAAAGATCAGTGCAACACTTAGACACTAGGCCTTGTTTGTATAACAAGTTCGCATCCTTTTTTTTCTGAAGAAGTACCTAGCAGAGCAACCTGTTTAAGGCCCAAATAGTCTATTTTTCCTATATTTCTACATCTCAATACTGTAATATAATAATTATTAATCAATAACTACCCTACTACCAAACTTTACTACTACTAGGGCTTAGACCCTGTCTGGCCTCTTGTCCACAGCTCTCCAATACTTTATATTATAATTATAATTTTAAAATTATAATGTTATACTTGACTAACAGCAAACTTGGCAATGTGAGATGCCCCCTTTCTTTATTATTCAGTTGCTTAAATTATTGGTTGTATTTTTTTTTTTTTTACCATTTTGATTTTTCTATTTTGTATTTTTATATGATGTTACAACATTTTAACTGTCTAGTCTTTTATTATAGGCCCCTTTATATCCCTTTTTTAATGAATATTATGTAACGTCACAAGTAAAATGCAATTTGGTCTTTGGCCACCTTATATTATTGTTTGAGATGTGATGTTTGAATAAATAAAGTAATATTTTTAAATATCAACCAACCTACAAATAAGTAGCAACCCAGGTTTTTTTGATAATGAATTTCCTCAAACTGCTGATGTTGTTATGTCATGACATAATAAACGGATGCACAGTACAGCACAATTAAATACTTGAATCTGGTGGTTTTTTTAGGTCCATGACATGATACCACAGAGTGAGAATTTGGCCTTTTGGGATGCTTCTGGATGGAACGCTGACTGATAGACATTGCATAGAACCATCTCATAACTACCTTCAACACAGCCAATTCCAGATGAATGCCTAACCAAAATACATGAGCAAATGTACAAAGTAAAAAGCCAGATGTTGTCTATACATTTCAAAATAAATTTAGAAGATTTAGGAAAGACACAATTGGGTAATGGAAGTTTGTGCGAAGAGAACATTGTACTGAAAATGCTCCACTGAGTACTTCTTGAAAGCAAAAAGAAAGAATGTCTCCCATAACCTAGCGTATACAGAAAACCAAAACCTTGAAAAAAACTTATTCTTTTAAGTCAAAAAATGTAAATTACACTCTTGCCAAATAATAGTAATAGTTTAAAGAGTTCACTTCTGAAAAATAGATATTGCATTATTTATTTAAAAAATAGATAAAGATTGTGATTGTACTAATGGTCACACATCTACTTTTCTGACTCTTCTGTACTATCATATTTATTACTGTATTTGTTAGCTAATATTTACAAACACAATTAAGGGTTGCCTTAATTTATTAGCTGTGAATTATCTCTGTTAATTCACACTTTATTATATCATTTATAACTATTGTTATTATTTATAATTCGAGAAAAAAAAAGAAAATATAAATTGAAGTGGTGCAATACACTAACTTTTATCAATACTTATTATTATATTACTGTTGCTGTCGTGAATACTAAATTTTGACAGCTTTAATATCACTATACACTATTTGTATATTGATTGACTACCATTAACAGACATATAGACACAGGTAAGTAAAGGAAAGACTTTTCGAATAATAATACTGTGCCTTGTTTAGTGAACTTATTTTTGAAGAAGCCGTCAGCGGGAGGGAAGAATTATTTAGCAAAATGATTTTGCCAAAAGCAAAGTGAAGGACAAAATGAAAATAAAATTTTCATAGATATGAATTGAAACAAGTGTTGTAATGAGATTGAAAATGCTTTAAATTTATCCAATTTGTGGATATTTCAGAGGAGTAAAAGCCATAATAAAAATATGTAACACTTTTAAATATTTTTCTAAAATTTCTATTTTTCGTCGGGGAGGGTGCGTTAACTATTCGAAATCGCTATTTAAACAAGGTACAGTGTAACATATCTTGCCTAAAAGTCTGTGATCCCTGGTAGCCTACTAAATGTTGTTCCCAATACTGTAATCTGTTACACGTATAAAAATCAGGCTTAAGGCCTGTTTATACTTCAACGATAACGATAACGATAAAAAAGCTAAAAAGCAATTGTTCATATAGAAAATGAAAGAAATAGGAGAAGTTTCTACACTAGAACGATTCGATAACGATATATCAGTTATGCGATAACATATTTTGGAAAAATTAAAATCAGATGACGCCATAATCATGGAAAAACATTAAAATCGTAGTAGTAGCAACGCTTTTATCGTTTTTCCATGATTATGACGCCGTCATCTGATTTGATTTGTTAAAATATTTTGTTATCGTATACACGATAAATCTTTATTGAATCGTCCTAGTGTAAAAACTTCTCTTATTTCTTTTGTTTTCTATATTAACAATCACTTTTTAGCTTTTTATCTTTATTGTTGAAGTATAAACATGCCTTTATTCGGCGCGTTGTATGTGCACGGATGGCGTGTATCGCAGCCGCATTGCTCTGACGAGTGTGCGAGATACCTTGCGACTGTCAAACAAAAGTGCGATTATGTCATCTTATCATTAGCCAATCAGAGCGCTTTATATGTCTCCCTATGCTTGGTTCTTCACTAAAAAAAATCGCATCCTGCCATTATTATTATTATCTTACCTTCACACTTGGGTTTAGTGATTTATTATGCCGCTGCAGGGCTTTGGGGGAGTGTATGAGGGTCTCTTTCCACCCCTTTGTTCCCCCACCCCACAAGCTTGATTTGCCACTCTAGGGCTTCTGTATCTAATAAAGAATGTCGTGAAACAATTGTACAAATCTGTGTTTTTAAAATGGTCCAACTGCCTTCATTCGCCCTACTATTCCCTCCGTGCGTCTAAAGGGCTACATTGATTTAGAATGCCAATAAGTCAATAATATTCGGCAAATTATTTTCATCAATAATTATTTTTTCTCCTTAGTTTAGAGTGGGAAATTTTTCTCATCATTACCTTTATTAGTTACAAGAAAAATAATAGCAACATTAAAATTAGCAACATTTACGATAAATTGCAATGACATTAAAACCCAATTCCCGGCAAAATTTCAGTTGTTAAGGAAAATCTAATTTTTTTATAATGTTATAAAGATTTATAAATATAATACGGAATTGCTAGTTTAACTGAATTTAGACATTCCTAAGAATGAAAAAAATATAAAAAAAAGACTGAAATTTGATTTTTTTTGTGTTCCACACAAAATATAAATGCGGATGAATTTTTCATGTTTAATTTTGCGATATGTCGTGAGAAGAAATATTGTAGGCGCCGAAAACATTAGCCTATCCAACGCTGCTAGGCTATGCCTAGCCTTACCTCTATTTAGGTTCTGTTATCACACATAAAAACGGCCGACATGATATTTTCCGTTGATAGTATTGACACTTGCGAAATATAATATTTCATATGAATTATTTCAAATTTGTTAAAAAAACTGATTCTGACTGAGATTTCGACACTTAAACAAACATATCTCAGCCTAATCGAACGACCGCATTGTGCGAAATGCGAAGTACAAAAATTAATCTCATTAGAGAGGGCGCACATTATTGACTGGATAAAGTATACATAAAAGCGAGAGTATTCCAGTGGATGCGATCTACAACCTCTGAATTTGCCTAGTAACGATGAATTCGTCGAGAAAATGGTAATATTTCATGAGAAATAGTCTGTATTTCCCTTTTTTTTTTATTCTTTTGCATAAAACTAAAATTCATGCCAATATTTTTCCATGATTTATAATAATTGGAGTAATGCAAATGCATATTTTTTTTAAAAAGTCAGTTTTTAGTGAAATTTTGCCGGGAATTGGGCTTTAACATTACCAATAGCTTTAATATTTACATAGATATTGAAATTATCATTGACATTAACAATAAGATTGGCATAAACATAATGTTCCATGTGCTATGGAGATGATCCAGGCCTGATAAATAACACATTCACTATACTCAAGCAACAACACGGTAGAACTGTAACTCGTCTGATCGAGTGATCATGAGTTTGTCAAATTTATATTGTAAATATAATAAGTTATATACCTATAATATGATGACGATGATTGATTCGTAACATTGAATGCGATTGACTTGTATTCCTTGCACCTCGTCAGTGCTGCCAAATGATGATTTCTTTAAGAACAATTAATATATATTAAATGAAAAGAGATGTTGTCTGAGTTAAAATTTCCTAAAACGCCCATATCATCTAATTATTAAAGTGATTCTGTAATTGTACATTAAGAATAAGGTAAGATATGAGATACAAATTATATTCAAGGAGAAAATATCAGTTTTCTGTTATTTAGGATTAAATTATTTTTAACTTTTATAACCATTAAATTTAGGTTAAGGGTCTACGCAAAGGAAAGAATCAAATCATATGTCTGTAAATCAGAAAAAAAACCATTATTGTTGTCTATTGCTATCTTTGATCTATTGTATGCTAATACACTAAGCCCCTATTCAGGGAACACGTCTTTGGGACGACCAAATATGTGATCCTTAAGGTCCAGGGATGTTCCCTGAATAGGGATAATATTCTCCTTAGTGGGGGCTTTTGACATGCGGTTATACATTAATTAAATTTTCACAATTTTTAACCGATTGGCCTGAGAACAAGCTACAATAGAATTAAATTAGTTTGTAACAAAATGGTTATTGAGTCTTTTTCAATTTTGGTGATAGGACATAAAGTAGTGTCATCTTAATAGGGTTTAATATGGGTCAAACTATTTTTATAATCAAATAATTTCACTGGCTTTATTCAATAGTAAAACCGTATAAATTTAAATTTTTGTATGATTTTGTAGTATATTGGTAACACACATTTTAATTCTTATTTTATTTTCGCTGTTTCAAACTTTTGCTTTATTCAAGAACATATTGACATAGCAGCATAATAATCACTGAAATGGCGTCAATTTACAATAGCACATTCAGGTAGTCATATAACATACTTAAACAATGTACTTTGTACTTTAGGGCTGTACCATTTTGCAAAATGGTAAAATTAAAAAAAATATTATCTTTTTTCATTTCATTTCTTTATTCACGAGCGCCAAGGATATGCCAATCAGTGAACTTAATCACTGTCATACGTGGCACATCCATTAAACGACAGGGGACTTGAAAATTATAATTATGTGTATGAATGTGTATATAATTTTGTATACTTACACATGGTACCGGTAACATTTAGAAGTGAAGTGTGCAGCTAGTTTTAGATTCGAACTTGTGATATATACAAGCATTATTGTAATAATTCCCGTAAAGAGGATAGCAGAAGAGAAGAGTCGAATAATAATGAACCGGCTATCCCTTTAACAAAAAACGAAATGATAAATCATTAATAATTATGATAATGATGATAATTATGATAATAATACTAGGTTGATTAAAAAGGCAAAAATAAACTAGGTCTGTAAGCGTCACCCAGAAAATGCAAGGTGAACGTACTGGAATAGCGGAATAACGAAAGAGATTCAAAGAACTGAAAAAAGAACAGACTATCTAAAAATAACTATAAAAAAAAAGGGGGAAAAAAAGTAAAGTAAACCACAAAAACAGAGTGGTATAGAGAACCAAAATCATTGCACCATCATGATTTACATGGGGTTTAATTGTTTTGTCATCTAACTTGCCTATCCAAAACAAAAAAAAAAACAAAAAAAAACAGGCCAAAAAAAAAAAAAAAAAAAAACAGGCAAAAACCATTATTTTTCGAATTCTAGCTGATTTCTATGAAACCAAATTTGATATTAACGAATTTAAGTCGGACAAAATTCAACAGGCCACAGAATCTGTTAAGTGTAAAGCCCAGACCTTAAGGCAGGCTGTTTTCGTCAGTTCAAACTTTGACAAATTCTCAATTTAAAAGCTAATTACATTACTTAATACAAAATCAGTCCCAGGGCCTGACGGAATTTCCGCAAACCGTTTGAAACATAGTATCAACTCTAAATTACCTGATGTGTTGGCTAGTATTTTAAATTTTTGTTTACAATTGGGCATTGTTCCCTGTAAATTTCATGAAGGTAACCTCATACCTATTCTTAAAAAACTAAACATTGATCCATCATTAAAAACTACAGGCCAATTATTGTTTCTAGTACCATTTCAACAATTTTCGAGTTGGGTTTTTTCTTGAATCATATGGTAATTTTGAATTTGACCCTTTACAATTTGGTGTTATGGTAGAGGAACAGTCATGGCTGGCACCACTGTCAATGACGTCTTCGGCTACTGCATCAATAACGGTTCCAATGTATTTTCGTGTTCTCTAGACGCCGAGGGCGCGTTTGATGCAATCCCACATGATGTCATTTTTGACATGGTGGAGATGCTTACTATCTTGGTACACAAATTTGACGGTGAAGGTGAAGTGGGGTGGTTCCCTAAGTAGAAAAATTTCTATCCGTAAAGGCACAAGACAGGGGGGCTTGTAATCTTCATTCATATTTAATCTATTTTACTAAAGATCTTATTCAAGCTCTAAACTGCGGTAGGCCTATAGTTATTGCCCACTCTGCCTTAAACGCATTTTGTTATGCCGATGATATTTTGCTTGCTAGCGTAACGACCACTGGGCTCCAAAATTTAATTGATTTTGCTGCTAACTGGTATATCTCATCTCATGGATTACGATTCAATCCGAGTAAAACTACATGTACTGTCGTCGGTAATAATACATTTATGACTGAACCCTCCTGGTTCCTAAATGGTTTTAAACTTGATGTTACTGACTCCGTAAGTTATTTCATCAAACGATCTTAGTAGATCACATAAACACTTTGATGAGGGAATCCGTAAGTGCCAAAGAGCATTTTACTCCCTGCAATGTATAGGCATGTGCAAAGGTCCTACATGCGTTAAAACACACGTATGGAACAGCGTGTTGGTCCCTATTCTAATCTATGGCTGTCAGTGTATTAACGCCAATACAAATTTTTTGAACAAATTAGAAACTACATAGAATAAGCTTATTAAAGCAACAGTTGGTCTTCACATATGGAAACGTTGTATCGTTTGCTCTCCAAGGTCGCCTTAACCATTGGAGAAAACTGGATTTTTTTTCTCACAAAAATGCATTTTTGGTACAAAATCTATGATTTTCTTGTAATGGCCCAAGCGGATTATGTTGTAAAAAATATTAATCTACCAATTCGTGAAGAAAAAATGAAAAAAATCCCTACAGTTTTGTCGGAATACGCCAATTTATAACAGCTCGTCACGCCGACTCAGATAGGGAATTTCAAGAAATTTGAGGTTTTTGACTGTTCCGAGCTCGTTTCTTACTCCCTCACTCACAGCCTATTGCTTTGTTCGAATTGGCCCAAGTGGATTCGAGAAGGGAATATAATAAGCTTGAAGCTGATATAAAACTTAGTATGATTGGTTGGGTAGTTTAATCGGAAAATAATAAAATATAAAATTCATCCAATCCACGATTGCCTCTCATGGGGTCAAAAAATCTCTCAAGCGTGATAGTCCGATTCATGGGTATGACGTCATACTTCTGTTTGATTGACTTGTGTTCGCAGTGTTTGACTCTTTCTTCATGTAATTTGGCCTAATTTAGTTATCAGTTGGATTTTTTGAGTGCTTTTATTACCTTTATTAAAAAACAAATGTCCCAAGACAAGATACTTGCAGCAATTTTGCTATATTTCTGCAAAAAATGTAATTTATAGTCTGGACCATTTGAAAATTTCCGTAGGGGTGTAGCGTAGGGTTTTAACAAAAGAATATTGGTTGTGCAAATTGAATTTTGTTAGTAGTTTAACCCCATAATGAAAATGAAACAAACCCAATGTTGATCCAACCTAATTGTACAGCGGGGTTGATTTGACCTCAGTTCGCTGCTTTCGTCATAGCTGGGCTAGCAATGATAAAAAGTGGCAAAAACGTTTGCATATGAAATACTGTAAAACTACACCTCTGTTACATGCCCTAAACGTTCCAAAAATAAATGATATTCTAATTACACGCCAACTGGACCTTGTATGCCTAATTATGAATAATATATCCAAGGCGAGATCTTTTTATGCTCACCTTCTTAACGACCAGGAAAAAGATATATCTTTTTCAAAAGAATACACTTGTTGATATGATTAAAAATCGGTTTGCAAATCGATCATACTTTTCTCTATGCAAATATATATTTAATGAAACTTATCGTAGCAACTTCAAACGCTCCATTAAAAACGTTGACTGCTTTAATCATGGTATTTGTGAGAGTATCAAAACGATTCTATATGAAAATCCGTTCCCTGGCAACAATAAACTTGATCTTACGGGGCTACTGCTGAAGTCGTTTGGGTAACATATATACACTGTTAAACATTTTCCTGTAAAAATACCGTCAAAATACTGGCAACCAGGAGGCCAGTATTTTACCGTAATGTAAAATTACATTTACCTTTAAAAATAAATTTCTGTAAAAATACGGTAAATTACTGTTGATCGAAATACGGTAGTCAAACGTAATGTAAAATCTCAGGTACCGTTAATAATTTTTTTCTGTAAAAATACCGTCAAAATACTGGCAACCAGGACGCCAGTACTTTACCGTAATGTAAAATTACATTTACCGTTAAAAATAAATTTCTGTAAAAATACGGTAAATTACATTTGATCGAAATACCGTAGTCAAACGTAATGTAAAATCACAAGACCGTTATTAATTTATTCCTGTAAAAATACCGTCAAAATACTGGCAATCAGGACGCCAATCGTCAACCGTAATGTAGCATCACAGGACCGTTATTAATTTATTCCTGTAAAAATACCGTTAAAATACTGCCAATCAGGACGCCAGTCGTCAACCGTAATGTAGAATCATGTTTACCGTTCATAATTATTCCTTGTCAAAATAGGGAAAATTACTGTCAATCTCAATGCCGGTCGTCAACCGTAATGTAGAATCACAGTACGGTGAATAATTAATTCCTTAATAATACGGTAAATTACTGTCAATGTTTAATGTCGTTCGTCAACCGTAATGTAAATTAACAGGTACCGTAAATAAGTAATTCCTGTAAAAATACTGTAAATTATTGTCAATATGAATTCCGGTCGTCAACCGTAACGTAGAATCACAGGTGACGTAAATAATAAGCTTGTCAACCGTTAATAATGTAGAATTACAATTTTAAATTTATTAAAAATAATTTCTGTAAAAATACAATACATTACTGTCTAAATTACTTTTGCAAAAATTCCCACTACATTTTTTTTGGTGGCTAACAAAAGTAAACAAAATAACGAAAATTGTTTATAAAGTCCATAGTTTAAGAAATGTTTTAAAGAATCTTCATTAGACTGTTTAAAAAAAAAATTATATTTGTAACTGAAATACACGCCTTTGTTGAAGAAAAACGAGCCTCAACAGATGTCTGGTGTACTTTTTCTTACTTACTGTACTTATTAACTATCATGAAAACTGCAGAACAAAATGTTGTAAAATCTTGGTTACTATAATAAATCATGAAATGGTACATATTATTATGCCAATAAGAATATTTTGTAATAGTACTGTATGTCATTCTGATGTTGTATTTCTTACTGTAATATTAAATTATGAAATACAATGTCTATGAATAATCAGAATAAGAGAACTTAGTTGGCTTGCTGTTACTGAGAAGATAAATAGTACATATTATTTCTAAGTTACCACACTAGTTTAATTATAATGCATAAAGTAAAACTGAATCGTTAAACATAAATCAACATTTATAGTAATATCTATACAAAACAATTTAGTAGAATGCAATAATCAATAGTATATTTTAAGACTATTTCACAATTCTGGATCCTAACCAGCTTAATAACACTGTACAGTACTAACAGATTATCATTTAATCACTCTACTTCTTAGCTTGTTTACTATCATTTGCTATCACCATATCTTAGAGACGTTGCAAAGGCAATCATAAATTCATTAGTTAGGGAAACCACACTTCTGGATAAATGTACCCGAACAACACCTTGTCTGTAATTCCTTGTAATTAAAATTAAGATTTATTACATTTTAATCATAATTTTAACAAGTTTCAATATGTTAGTAAATTAGCTGGGCAATTGGACTTTCAGTGCTAGTGACTCATGGAATACAGATACTTGTAGTTAGCTTAACATTAGGTTACATATTACAAAGATCTGCAATACACTATGTTATACTGACTCACCCATAAAAACAATAATATCATAATTGTTGATTGATAGCTACTAACAAATTTTAAATACAAATCTTCATACGTAGAGTCATCAACAATATCGGACCAGCTATTTCTTTCTAACGAAGGTAGTTGTCATTCCCCTTTCTGAAAATACTTTTTTAACTTGATTAGCTACCTTGTTCCAGTAGACATCACCAGGATTGTTACTACTGTCATAGACTGAAATGCTTCTGTGTCCAAGTGACTCCTTTGCTCTATAGAAATCAATATTTAAAATATTTTTAATCCACAGCACAGTAACTACTGTACAAATAATAATTATAGAATTGCATTACTTTAACCCCAATGCTACTACACCACTTAACATCCCAAACACCATGCTAGTGGACTCTTATCCTATAGTTTTGATCACTCAAAGATATATATATGGCCACTCAATATTACATTTTGAAAGGCGACTAGATGCATAATCACCTTACTGTATCATCCCATTTTTTCCAAAGGCAATAAATACATAATAAGATAATCCTAGTCATACCCTATTAAGGGCCATGTTATTTTAGCAAGCAACAAAATATAATGTTATTCAAGCAAGCAACAAAATATAATGTCAGGTTAGGCATGTTGAGCTCAAAAAATGGCTTTTGAATTTTGGACACTATGTTAAAGAGAGTGATAGACAAAACTGATAATTTATAACAAATTCATGGCAATAATTAACGTACATAATATCTACCCAAGACAAAACAATGTACCAGATGATGATGATAAATTCAATTTGAATGTAGTCTTTTACATTTACTAATTAGAACTAGATATACAGTACAGTACTGCGTACCTGGAAGTGCTGGCAAAAAATGGCTTCTGTGATAGAAGATCAAGGTACTCAGAGTTTAGCTCTGAACTGGATAAATCTCCTAGGCTTGAAATGGGAATAAAGTTTCTGGAGTGTTTTGTTCACGTGTTGCTGGAAAAAAGAACATACAGTAATTGCTGATGGAAAGAAAATTCAGGACTGAGTAACACAACACTAAACAATTAAAACTTTAGACAAAGAAAAAAATACATCCTGGATTTTGGGCACATAATTGTAGCATGTATCTTGTAACTAAATCAATGCATTTATTTTGTTGTGTAATTACGTCTAAACATTAAGAAAGCATTGATATTTTATAAATAGTTTTCTTCCAAAGGTTGGAAGATTATAAATATTTTAACCATCAAAAGTTGTGGGTTAAATTCTGGCAAGTTGAAAAGTAGCATGGTAATTTGTCAAATGCCAAACTCATCTGGATCATACAGTCTCCAAGCAATCATAATCAGAATAAAATGACAATTATTGTTTGGCAACACACCTTATCCATACAGTACATCTTCCCTTTTATAAAATGTGTACTACACTTGTGCACATCTATGGCCTTTAGAATTTCATCCTTCCGTAACTAGTGCAAGATCCGTTTCATGGACCACACCAAGATCATCCAGTTTTCCCAAACGTTTTTCTTTCATCAAAATTCGAAAACATGAATCACCAGCAGTTTCCATAATTATCTGTAATGACTGACATACATCTATGAATATTTATTATGTTAAAACAGTGTTCAGATTTCATTTTTACATATAAAAAGTTGTGGCAATTTTGAATGAAAGTGTAATTTTGCTTCCCTTATCTTATAATTTTAGTCTTTAAAAAATAAAAAAAGGTGACAACTGGAAGATATTAAGTTCCACTGAAAAAGCTCAATTTATTAGGTATTTTCACTTCACTTCTCTAACATTGCAACAATGTAGAAAATTTTTCTTTCGAATTCAGTTTATGGGATTGCAACTCTAGATTTTTGAACTATAAATGGGTGAATTATATCAAATGTACATAATTATCTTAATGAAAAAGTATTTTCTTCAGTATTTTGACACCTTTATTTTTTAAAATTGGTCCAAAACCGGAACAGGGCAGGCCAATAAACAAAATTGAGAGAGTGCGGGAAAACGAAATTCACAAGTTAACAGATGTGAAACAATTCAAAATAATATAACTTCTTTATCCTAATTGTAATGCCCTAATTAACCAGATGTATAGAGGGCGTCATAACGCTGACGTATAACAAAGGTAACCATGGCGGCATTTGGAAAGAAGTGTACGTAAAGTTTCTCGTACTTAATTTAGCCTGCCTTGCCATCTAGAATCTGTAGAGTTGCGAAATCTTTAATTGAAATGTCTACAAAACTTTGTGAATCACGTACACGTACACGTAAACGTAAACGTACACGTACTCATACTCGTTGACGTTGTTCTTCTCGTATTCGATAGATGTCTTGTCATCGTCCCGTTACTACTGTTATACCATTTTTTCACCGTTTCATTTATCATCCTTTCTACGTTTGAACGATTAAATTTACATATCTTATGCTGATTCCATTGGTAGTAATTTTTAATTTGAAGTTGTTTCGCATTCTACATTATTCACAAAGTTTTAGTGAAGAAAAGCTAATATGGCTGCTCGATCTCGACAGCAGTACCAAAGACCTTCCACCAGTTTACCAGACCTCACTATAAAGGAAGAAGAAACTCAAAGAGTTAAACGTAAGGCTGGTAACCGTATGTCAGTCAGGAGTCTCTCGAGGAAAGGTTCTATTATCGCCTCAACTAAAAGTAAAAAGGATAAACTTGAGGAACAGCTTGCTGTACATAAAGTGGAATTGGAATATAAAGAAAAAGAATTACAGCTCCGAATGGAGCAGTTGGAAATCCAGAAGGAGGTAGCCATTACAAAGGCATTATTGGAGGTGGTCGATGAGACCAGCGAAGATGAACTTTTGATCAAGGATGATGATCTTAAAGATGTCCCTGCTGAAGAACCGGATGAAGGTGTTAGAAAGTTTTTAAATACTTTGCCTCCAGCAGTTAATCAGGATGTGTCTCCAAATAGTTCAAGTGTGACCAACCCAATGCTGATTAAGCAATTGGTGGACTCGTTCAAGTTACCACCATTAAGAGTTGCAAGTTTCAATGGAGACCCTCTGAAGTATCCCATGTGGGAGACATCATTCAACAGTCTGATTGCTGATAAGGCTGTCTCTTATACACATCTAGATGTGTATAAGAGACAGGTAGAAGGACGTCGCGATCATACCATGAGCTGTCCACTTGCGTCAACTCGCATGAAATCGCGTCATTTTAGGTCAAATCGTGTCAAGTAATGTCGGATTGCGTCAGTACACGTCAATTCGCGTCAACTTACAGC